CTTAGGTTTGGAGAGAGCCTCAGTAACATTCCTGGGTATAGACACAGAATCCAAGGAAGAAATCAAAGCACGGTAGGAGGGTGATAAGGCACTGTAGGAAAGATGGTGTGAAATGCAGTGGGTTGTACACTTTCTCTTCCCCTTATGAAGTGCAATGGGAAGATCAAGGTCAGTGGGATCAGTTGCAACAATGGTGTTAGGGATAGAAACATTATCATTAGAAAACATAATAGGCTCAGGCTCAAGAGGAATACCTGGAATTGTATCTGCGAAATCTGGAGTTTCAGAAGGACTGACAGAGATTGGTGTGGGTTGAGGATGTTTGGAGTCAACCATCATCTGTCGGCGCAGGTGGCTCAGGTAATGAAACTGGAAGTGCAGGTGCTGGCTGAATTGATGGTGCAGGTGGTGGCTGAACTGATGGAGGCACCACAGAAACAGGAAGAGGAACAGATTGTGAGTTCTTCTCCCCAAAACTCTCCCCATGAGGAGAACCACTTGAGAAAAAGAATGTGGATTCAAAAAAGGTAACATCCATAGTGACAAATCTGCTCCTCGACACAGGGTCATAACAGCAATACCCCCTTTTTTCTAAGCATACCCAAGAAAAACACATTTCTTGGCCTTAGGATCCAATTTCTTGCGATGAGGGCCAAGAATGTGAACAAAAGAAACACAACCAAAAACCCTCAAAGGTATATGAAATATCTCTCCATCTGGAAAAAGAAGGCTAAATGGCACCTTAAACCCCAAAGTCCGTGAAGAAACACGGTTAATCACATGTACGGATGTAAGAACTGCATCTCCCCAGAACTGCACAGGAATTGAAACACACACCATAAGACTCCTTGCCACCTCCACAATGTGTGTTTTTCCTCCCAACAACTCCATTCTATTCCGGTGTATATGCACAACTGCTCTGATAAACTACACTATATTCTAAGAGATACATTAGGTCCTTATCAAAGTACTCTCTGGCATTATCTAATCTAAAAGCCTTAGTTCTCACTCCAAATTGTGTGAGAACCATCTGGTGAAATTGTCGTACTAAGTTAGGAACCTCATCACGTGATCTCATCAAATATATCCAAGAATATCGTGTATAATCATCCACAAACAAGAGAAAGTAACGGAATCCTCCCATGGAAGGGATTTGATATGGCCCTCATACATCAGTGTGAACAATATTAAAAACAGAAATACTACTTTCTTTACTCGGTTTAAAAGACTGTCTACAATGCTTTCCTAACCGACAACTCTCACACTCCAAAGTAGATAATTGAACAGACTCAAACAACTTTGGGTAAAGACATTTCAAACAACTAAAAGAAAGATGTCTCAAGCGATTGGGCCAAAGCATAATCTGGTTCACTGACTCTGACCCACTACTACAGCTGCTGCTAACATGATGGCCCTGATGTCTCGGAATATCATCCAGAAGGTAGACTCCATTCAGCTCACAACCACTCCCAATCATCTTCTTTGACTCCAAATCCTGCAAAACACAATTACCAGGAAGAAAGGTCACAGAACAATTCAAATTTTTTGTCAAAGAACTAACAGACAGTAGGTTGGTATGAAGTCTAAGGACATGTAAAACAAAAGCCAGAGTCATATCATTGGTCACTCTAACTGTCCCCTTCCCAGCAATGGGCATATGTGAACCATCTGTTGTAGAGACTGTCTCTACCAGAGCACAATTGATAGGAACTGGAAATGGTAAGGGCAT